ACTGTTTATCTAATAAGAAACTTCAAGGGGCCTAGTTGAGGGTCAGTGACTGAGATGGAAGAATGATTTCAATTTAGGGGGTGGCTATTTTTATATTTTTTTCCCCAAATTCCTTTGCTAATCCCCACATCTTGGCCAGCTAAGTATAGTACTCTCCTGATTGTTGTAAGAACAGTATTTATAACCTATCTTCAGGAATGTGGAAATGTTTCACCAGATCTATAAATTGTTTTAGTGTTTCCAGATTGTAACAAAGGCATTGGGTATCCATAGTGTCCTTAAGCCTATGGATTCTGCCCCTGGTGTCTGATTTGTCTGGTTTTAAGCACAAATTGCCTAACTCCCGAAACTCTGCATCCAAGTTACCTGGGGAACTTTGGGAGGAGATACCCTCCTCAGGTACCATGTCATGCATCATGCTGTCTCGTCACAATCCAGCCAATGCCAAAACCATAAGGTTTTATTAGGTTTGTCCTCATATCATTACATTATATAATCAGCAGTGCTTATTAACAATTTCTATTTTCTGTACTATGGTTTTTATAGTCTGGATTTATTAAGTGCTCCTGGAATACAGGCTCCTGGAATTAATTTTAAAAAAAAGTCTTAGGCCGCCCTGGGAGAGGAACACTTTGCAGAAAGCTTGTACATGATTTATCTACTCTGAGTCTCCATTCCTATGAAAAGAGTGAAATTGAAGTAAAGCAACCTAGAATAACTGCTGTGTCACTGTCATCTTTAACGGACTGGCAGGACCAGGTTCTTGCTGCCACCAAAGAACATTTGTTGCTTGTTGGTTCACATTCAGGGTTTTGAAACTGTGTTTCTCCTTTAAATGGAAATTCTGTTTTACATAGCACCTTCTATTAAGCCATTCTTCAGAATCTCTAGTTCCCTGGAGGGGAAACATTCAATGCATATTCAAACAAATGAAGAAAGAAAAACAAAAAGGAAGAAAAACTTTGGCTTTCAGTATTTGAAATTCACCTTGTAAAGCAAAATCTTTTTATTCCCAACATTGAGAGACTTGTACGTGAAATGGCTAATGGTTTTGAAATATGGATGTATTTATTATGTTCTAGAAATAGGACTCGTTCAAGTGAGAAGTAGACAAGTTGGGGGAAAGTGCCACACAAATCACAGTGTTGGCCCTCCCTTGGCTGGGCTGGGTTTCGCCTATTTAGCCACGTCCCAACCAGCTTGCATGTGGGAAGCTTTCTCGAATCTCTTCTCTGGTTTGCACCTTGTTGTCCTTCACCTGGTTGTGTAGTCCATCCTTTCCCTGTAGTGGCATTTCCTGATACCCCCGTGGACTAGGCTAGAGCATTTTACATTGTACCTAATTCCCTGCTTATTCATTTCTCTTCCTCCTTAAGCTTTAAGCCTTATGAAGGCAAAACCACACCAGCTCTGCATAAGACTGTGTTCTCATTCTAGTGCCCCCCAACATTGGTGGAATAAATGAATGAAAAGCATATTACATTTTCATGCTTTTCTGGTGTCCATGACAAGAAGGACTTTTAGGTTCCATTATGAGAAAATTATCTTCAACTTCTATAAAATCAAAGTAACAGCACTAGCTTTCTAAAGTACTTATAAAATGGTGTAGGTCAGTGGTTCTCTACTGTCGATGATTTTGCCACCCCATGGGACATGTATAGAGTAATTCCTGGAGACATACTTGAATGCTCACAGCAGCCCTATTTATGAGTGTTGAGGTTGAGAAATCTTGAAGTAGGTGAAAATGCATAGAACTTGGCAGGTCAAAGGTGTTTCTATGTTGCTCTACATATTGGAGTTCACTTCTCTGGATATCATTAATAATAACAATTACCCGGATAATAACAACTTATATTATTATATTCTCACCCTGTGTCAGGTACCATATAAGCTTTTCACAAATATTACCCTATTTAACCCTCTCAAGAGTGCTGTGAGTTAGCAAATATCATTATCCTAATTTTTCAGATGAGAAGACAAAGACTTAAAAGGTTAAGATTCTGCAGCTATTAACTGTCAGAGGTGCAATGATGATTCAGGGTCTATGCCTTTGACCATTATGCTATATGACTTTCTCTCTAAATGTAGCTCCCAGCTCATAAGTTTAGTACAATTTCTGCCTTTTTTATTCGGTAGGAATCAGAGCTGAAAACATAGAAGAAATTTTAGCATACTTAAATGAAAAAATTATCATTATTGCCTACATATTTGTAATTTTACACTTGCACTAGTTTGAACAAAGATACAGCATACCGGCTGACATATGTAGGCTGTCCTTGATCCGAGGATTAGAACAAGTCTTCTATACACTGTTATTGTGTGGGATTCTCAAGAAGCTCAAAGAAAATTCTGAGAGTTTGTTTTCATTCAGAATTGGACTTGTCACAGCTAATCAACACGTTGTGATCTAGACGGTACTTTTCTCCTATTAAGGTAGATGAACAGTGACAGTTTGTCCCATGTAATCCTATTAGAAGCTTTCTTTGGAACCACATCCTCTCCTTACATAATTAGAAAAAAACTACTCATAAGTAAAGTGCACCTGCAAGAGGGCAAGGTCTGGGGCAAAGGACTGGTTGGTGGGGCTTTTTCTCTCCTCACTGTCGGGCGAGAGGAACAGTCATGATTTGGATGAATAATGAGTCTCCAGGTCCATTGTTGAGCACTTTATTAATGCCCAATGATTATTGCCTTGAGGCTGTTAGCTGAACTTTGGTGTAAATTCTGCTATCCTCAAGCACTGGTTTGTTGTTTTTAGGGCATTAAAACCTGGCTTATAAACACAGTTAAGAAGCATCTGGTCTTCCTGTATAGATTCTTAGAGAACCTCGAGCTACTTTTCTCACTTCAGGAATTCTCTTTGTTGTGTACTACTATCACACCTTGAAGGTACCCATGAAACCCTCAAAAAGGTTGTAGATTCTACTCTTTTAGTCTCATTTTCCTACCTCTTTTGAAGAGTAAATGCTAATAGCACCACCAACCAGATATTTTGTTCCTTAATAAATTATGCATTATATAAATGGGCTCTTCAGATTACAAATGATTCTTTAAGCTCCTACTAGATGTCCGTGCTTGTTGCTCATACATACATTTTCAAGGTTCTGCTGAGGCCAAGTGACATATATAATGTTCTTGTACTCCTCCACCTAGAAGATGGCATTTACATATAAGATGTAATTTGAGATTTTTCTCCTCGAGACGAAAGAATCAGTATGCCCTATGCTTCTACTCTTCTCAAATGAGTCATTTTGACATGAATTCTGCATTTATTTTACATTTAACAAATGAAAACGTTCGAATGATTAAATGAGATGGCATTATGTGTAGGACAGGGTCTCTCATATTTTAATGTGCACCCCGTAGGCTCTCACTAATGTGCAGAGGCTGTGTTTCCAGCTCCCAGGTCAAGCTCACGCTGCTGCATCAAGATCACAGTTGAGTAGCAAGCTGCTAGGGAACACTGAGATGATTTGAGAATTGAAAACCTGAGCTTACATGGCAGTGAAGCTGATGGCATTTAACTCATTTTTCTTAGCTTACCCTTAGTTGTATTATAAGCGATTCTTTGAGCACAAAGGGAAATTTTTGCTAGAGGGGATGACCCTGTTGAGTGGCAAAACATATTTGTAAGTTTTAACACATTAAATACTGCTTGATTTTTAATGAAGTTTCACATCCATCTCTCTTTGCCTAGAAAGAGACTGCATCGCCCCTGTTCCCTTTTTTAAAGTTTCTGAACAGAACAACATGAATTTTACTGCTTCTGGTCTCAGCATTGTTTTTTAGATGGCTCATAGTATTTTAAATTGGAGAACAAATTTACAATATCCTTGGCACATAAATAGCATTTACAGTGTTTTTTTTTCTTTTTAAATTATGTTTCTAAGAATAGCTAAGGAAACAATTCAAATAGTCCCTTTGTCCTTTTAGATAGAAGTTGTTTCAATCTCTGTATTGGTGAGAATTAAGAGACTTATAGCTCGTCATGTCCCATCATGTTAGCTTATTTTGTAGAGAAATAAAATCTAGCATCTTTCAATTAACTTCTTTACCTCTCGAATCTAAAATCAGATGAAACACATTCTAGAGCAAGAGGGCATGATTACTGCTCTCTGTGGATAGCTGTTACTTCCCCAACTGTCTCTTCTATGATTTCAAAGTTTGCTGAAAGTTCTTTTAAAGCAGGAAACCACTCTCAGGTGGGCGGAAGGTGGTGGTGGTGAAAAACAATTTATTCCCAAGCATGAGCTTGACAGCTCTCAAAGAGATCACAGTGGTGTACCTCATCTGTACCTGGAGGTCCAGAAAGGGGGGATAAGGGGAAATGTCTAATGCACTGGAGCTTGGTCATTCGGCCTGGTAATTCAAGAATAAGCTATTTCAGAGGACAACAAGGTGAGGGAGCACAAGAAGTGGGGAAGACAAAGAGAAGTCTTCTATCTTCACACGTTTCTGTGCATTATGTTAGTATTACTTTATCACAGTGTCAGATCCAAAGGATGCGTTCTTTCTAAATGATGTCATCAGCCTCCATTTTTCACTTGTTTATTTATAACTAGAAAAGGTTTCACATCTTTTCCCCTTAAATTTTATTATTATATATTGCTCAGTCACTTGTTTCATCCTGAAGTTAGACTATGACCATTTGGATTTGTAGGTGACCACGAGGTTTGATTCAGTGGATTCAGCAGTGTGCCTGTGGGGCCTGTCTGTGGATGTGCAAGTAGATATTTAAGAGAATGTACTGGCTGAGATGAAAATTCACAGTACAATCATGAGTAGTGAGAGATAACAGTACAGTTTTCTGTTCAAAATAATTGCATCATTTTTGTTTCTTAAATACCTTTTCAACTAATGATTATTACTTAAAATAGCACTTAGCACTGACTGCCTGCCTCTGGTCATTTATCCCAGTCGCACAACTCTTGAAAGTCAGATCAGCACTTCTTTCATCACTACCTTTAACGGACTCTTTTCTCTCTACTTCCCTATGACAGATTGCAGATGAGCTTAGCCACGGAGTTCACAGGCTGATCACTGCTGACCTGAGCTACAACAGAAGGGAGTTCTGCCCGCCTCGTGGGCCCCTGTGGACCGCTGATATCTTGGCTTCACTCATTGCCTGTGTGGAAAATTCTCCCTTCAAAAAATCTTTTGCACATGGCGGACAATAGCAGAGAGAACAACGCAGGCCGATAAGATCAGAGACCCCAGGGAGAGCCTTTTACTGTGGGCCTTCTGGACTTCAGCTCCTGTAGGAGCTCTAGACTTGAACGGGACCCCACCAGTCATTTGGGTTTACTATCTATTTTTGCTTCTTTGTCTTTTCCCCACCACATTGTATTACGTTTCTGTATTTCAGAAATGGGCCTACAGACCGCACCGTGGCCCAGCCCTGGGGCTTTTTTCCTGAAATCTTGGCTTCTCATTTCCCTGGGGCTCTATTCACAAGTGTCAAAACTCCTGGCGTGCCCCAGCGTGTGCCGCTGCGACAGGAACTTTGTCTACTGTAACGAGCGAAGCTTGACCTCAGTGCCTCTTGGGATCCCGGAGGGCGTCACCGTACTCTACCTCCACAACAACCAAATTAATAATGCTGGATTTCCTGCGGAACTGCACAACGTACAGTCGGTGCACACCGTCTACCTTTATGGGAACCAACTGGATGAGTTCCCCATGAACCTTCCCAAGAATGTCAGAGTTCTCCATTTGCAGGAAAACAACATTCAGACCATTTCACGGGCGGCTCTTGCCCAGCTCCTGAAGCTGGAAGAACTCCACCTGGATGACAACTCGATATCCACAGTGGGGGTGGAGGACGGGGCCTTCCGGGAGGCTGTTAGCCTCAAATTGTTGTTTCTATCCAAGAATCACCTGAGCAGCGTGCCAGTCGGGCTTCCTGTGGATTTGCAGGAGCTGAGAGTGGATGAAAATCGAATCGCTGTCATATCAGACATGGCCTTTCAGAACCTCACAAGCTTGGAGCGCCTGATTGTGGATGGGAACCTCCTGACCAACAAGGGCATCGCCGAGGGCACCTTCAGCCATCTCACCAAGCTCAAGGAGTTTTCAATCATCCGGAATTCGCTCTCTCACCCGCCTCCTGATCTCCCAGGTACGCATCTTATCAGGCTCTATCTGCAGGACAACCAGATAAACCACATCCCTTTGACAGCCTTCTCAAATCTCCGAAAGCTGGAGCGGCTAGATATATCCAACAACCAGCTGCGCATGCTGACTCAAGGAGTCTTTGATAATCTCTCCAACCTGAAGCAGCTCACTGCTCGGAACAACCCTTGGTTCTGTGACTGCAGTATTAAGTGGGTCACGGAATGGCTCAAATATATCCCTTCATCTCTCAATGTGCGCGGTTTCATGTGCCAAGGTCCCGAGCAGGTCCGGGGGATGGCTGTCAGGGAGCTGAATATGAACCTTTTGTCGTGTCCCACCACGACCCCCGGGCTGCCCCTCTTCACCCCTGTGCCGAGCACGGCTTCGCCAACCTCTCAGCCGCCCACACTGTCCGTCCCCACCCCCAGCAGAAGCCCTCCGCCCCTGACGCCTATCACGTCGAAGCTTCCCACCATCCCCAGCTGGGACGGCAGGGAAAGAGTGAGCCCACCCATTTCAGAACGGATCCAACTCTCCATCCATTTTGTGAATGACACTTCCATACAAGTCGGCTGGCTCTCACTCTTCACGGTGATGGCGTACAAACTCACGTGGGTGAAGATGGGCCACAGTTTAGTCGGGGGCATCGTTCAGGAGCGCATAGTCAGCGGTGAGAAGCAGCACTTAAGCCTGGTTAATTTAGAGCCCAGATCCACCTATCGGATTTGTTTGGTGCCCCTGGATGCCTTTAACTACCGAACGGTAGAAGATACCATTTGTTCTGAGGCCACCACCCACGCCTCCTATTTAAACAATGGCAGTAACACTGCTTCCAGCCACGAGCAGACGACCTCCCACAGCGTGGGCTCCCCTTTTCTGCTGGCGGGCCTGATCGGGGGTGCGGTGATATTCGTGCTCGTGGTCTTGCTCAGCGTCTTTTGCTGGCACATGCACAAAAAGGGCCGCTACACCTCCCAGAAGTGGAAATACAACCGAGGCCGGCGGAAAGATGACTATTGTGAGGCAGGAACCAAGAAGGACAATTCCATCCTGGAGATGACAGAAACCAGCTTTCAGATTGTCTCCTTAAATAACGATCAGCTCCTTAAAGGAGATTTCAGACTGCAGCCCATTTACACCCCGAATGGGGGCATTAATTACACAGACTGCCATATCCCCAACAACATACGGTTCTGCAACAGCAGTGTGCCGGACCTGGAGCACTGCCACACGTGACAGACAGGCGTCCAGCGTGGAACCCTTGAGGACACACCCGGGTGTGCACACAGAGACACACGAATTACATTTGATAAATGTTACACAGATGCATTTGCGCATTTGAATAGTCTGTAATTTATACGGTGTACTATATAATGGGATTTAAGAAAAAAAAGTGCTATCTTTTCTATTTCAAGTTAATTACAAAGTTTTGTAACTCTTTGCTTTTTAAATCTTAAAAAAAAAAAAAAACAGTTGCAGAAGTACTGTACAGGGTTGTACCATGCGAACCGAACCCCAAGAAACAGAACGAGTGGTTCTTCCTCGTGATGCACATTAACCACTCTGCTGTTGAAGCTGTCAGAATAAATTCCTTTCCTCGAGCTGATGGTCAGATCAAAGAACAGATTCAGTTGCAGAAGTACTGTACAGGGTTGTACCATGCGAACCGAACCCCAAGAAACAGAACGAGTGGTTCTTCCTCGTGATGCACATTAACCACTCTGCTGTTGAAGCTGTCAGAATAAATTCCTTTCCTCGAGCTGATGGTCAGATCAAAGAACAGATTAAAATGGACTCATCAGGGTAGGATAAACAATATGGGTAAAACAAGAATAGCCCAGATATCTTCTTGCTGTTGCTATGCTTCCTGGTTTGGAAGAAAAGTTAAAAATTCCAAAATATAAGAAAGCAGGTAGCTGCCCTGATTTAAGCCCAAACAGGAGATACAGAAAGCGTTATGAGGAAGTCAGTTCCAGTGCGATAAGTTAACCCACCCTGGCAGAATTAAGAAGTGAGACGAGATTTGAAGGGACCTTCAAACTCCTCAGGGTTGGCTTTCTGACTGGGAACTTAAGAATCACCTCTCACACTTTCCTGGCCCTATGATACAGAGTTAGAGACCGGAGTCTGATTTCAGTCATCTTCAGGGACAGGTATGATGTTCCAGCAAGAAAACTCCCTTGAAAAGTGTTACTATTTCAATTGTATGTCAGGTTGAATCACATTCAACAGAGATATATTCTAGAATACTTTTTTTAGAAGAGGCTAATAAAATAATGGGAAGAATTATATTGAATGGAATTATTTTTGATAATGAGAATTATTTGGGTAGATTCACTGCAGCTATGTCAACATGATATTTAGACCAATATACTAAATGAGTTATTTAAAAAGTATTGATACAATTTAGACAAAAGCAAGTGATCCGTGGTTCTGCTATACTCTATCAACTATCTTTGTTAGTATCATGTTGAAATAGCTTGAATTAATACCTTTATCCCCTTAAAAATTCTTGTCTTCCAATCACCTCATGTACTAGTTGTTTAAGCTATCGTTGTTTTCCCCCTCTGCTCAAAATTTGAAATTGGATGCCAGTCTTGGTTGCACAAGATAACCATGTACACGTTTACACACTTTAAAACGTATGCTAATTTTTACTGCAAAGCTGGCCAAAATAATGTATTTTTTTAAGCAATATGGAGTTTCCAGCTTGAATTGATTTTGATCCTGTTCCATTTTTAAAATTTCATTTGTTCCTTTTCGACCTTGGATGTTCCTCTTCTTTGAGAATTGTGGATGGATTATCAATCTTATATTAACAGGATAACAGATGAAAAATGTTAGGTCAGAGAGTGAAGGCTTTTTCCTCTGATCTTGGCAGAATGGGGCATAGAGCAGAAGGCATAGAGAAGAGAGGGGTTGTCCGTGCTTAATTCTAGATATTTCTGAAGCAGTGTCCATCTTTAGAAAGCATGTATAATTTACTCCTTTCTATCCCTTAGATGTAGAAGGGCTATTGATAACACACGTCATCTAAAAAAAAATACCCCTTTGGAGAATTATTATTTAAAAGGAAATGTAAACATTTCAGTCTGGTTGCACATTTCCTTTGCCACCGGCCATTATTTTAGGGACCTGTGAAGTTACTGTCACAATCAGTTTGCGTGTTCTCTCTCTCCCACTTTTAACAAAATAGAACTGTGATGTGTCTTCTTTGCAGAAGTTTAGGTATAAAATGCTATGCAAGTTTTTCTTTATAGTAAGAGCTTTATTTTCTTTAATAATATACCCCAACTTATATATGTTTAATCTCCCTTGTCCCTCAGGATAAGCAGAAAATATAAATGAAGTTATAATGTTGTAGAAACAAAAATCGAACCTGCAGTCAGTCAAGCTGAATTTAGCTATGAATTAATTTGAATTAATTCAAAAGTGACTTTGGTGTCCATTTTAGTCTATTAGCTAGCGAATTTTGACAGTTGTTTTCCTAAAGCTAGGTAGGGCCACACAGTGAACAGGTCAGATGATCTGCAAAGGTGATTGGTGTAGCGGTATTAAGCCATCTAAAATGCAGGACAATGACATGGAGTTTTGTGTATTTAACTATTTCCCGTCCACTGACATCTTCTCCTTGTCTGTGTAGATAAAAGCTGTGTGTTAAAATGATGGCACTTTTGAGGGTTTTATTTTTTCCTTTTATCTACAAAATAACCATTCTCATTTAGTTGTATTGTGTGTGTTACCCCCCGTGACATATTTGGCTACTGAAACATCTTTGCTTTGAGCTGGAAGACCAAGGTTGTAGAGGTTTCTACAGTGTACTGTGGGACTCCCAAAATTATTTAGGGATCACGTGGTACAGTGGAGCCCAGTCATATGAAATGGTTAGGATGATCTGAAATGGATCCTCTGTCCCTGAAGAGATGGAATATAGTTACAGGTTTTATTGTGATCTCGTGCATAAAGATGGATCAAATTAAGATCAGTCTCCAACTGGAAACAGCATACCCGGGGCTCTCACCTGCACATCACCGCATTTGCCATGTCTTGTGTGTCTTAGAAAAGCTGCTGAACAACTGTCAGTGATGGATTATGCTCTGGCATTTTTAGTCATGGGATGTGTTTTGCTGATGCATCTATTCTGTATTTAGGCCTCTCTTATTGTCATTATTGTGTATTTAAAGATTAGTCAAGAGTCAGAGTTTCAGGTTCAGGCCAAGACCAGGAGCAAAGCCATTCTCACTGGCTTACAGAGAGCATGATGCTGTCTGATACATTAAGTGATTGCAGATAATATGTCATGACTTTTAGAGCTAGGTGACTGTCACCATGCAGAGAAAGTTCTGAAAGGAAAAGGCATAGCCACGATCATACAGATATCACTGACCATTATTCGTATCCAGTGTAGTCATTTAATACCTACTTGTTTGGGGGAAATGTGTTTGAACAGGGACAGGCCCTGCGCTTCCCTCTAAGCTGTCACATGCATTACCAACACATTGCACAGGACAATCACAGGCAGAGACAAAAAGTGTCCTCCTGCCTATGTGAGAAATAATGCAATTTCTAATTGTCTGGATGTGTGTGAAAAATTAGACATTTTCTCTGAGGTTAAAAAAAAGTACAATGTGGCCAATCTGGTAAAAAGTGTTAATGAAGTAAGTAATATCATGGCTCCATTTCTGCAAGCGCAGATCATCGTATCTTAGTCATTCCACAGGAGAGAGAACTTCCTTCCCCACTGAGGAGGACAAGCTTTTCATGTCGCTAATAGAGCATCTATTGCAAACGTACGGAGATGTCACAGTCCGCAGGGAGCAGATGCTATGCTCCATCAGTAACCCTCAGGTGCAGAGCCCATTGCAACTTCTGACAATGACGTGGTTCATTTCCACTGACTTCTCTGCTTATGACATTTTTCTCTGACTTACAAGGAGATGTTAAGTTTTACCTTAGGACAGGACAATAATGGTTTTGTGCATCACTTCTCTTAACAGCTTCATGGAAAGCAAAGCAGAAAAAAGTGCCCAAAAGGGAAAGAGATATACACACAAACAAACAAAAAAGACAGTGTCTCTGTCACTTTTGTCCTCCTTCTTAGTCTTGTCAGACCTTGCCTGATGATCTTTTTTTTTAAGCCAAAACACTGTTGTATGAAGCTGTAGTTTCCATCCTCCTCTGATTTCTTCACCAGGGTTGAAAGACCATTGCTGGCAGTGCAGAATGCTTGTTGCTGATTGCGGGGAGAAAGTTCTGTACAGCGTAACGTTGTAACAAACAAATTCAAATCTTTGATATAGTTCTTATTTTTGCTTTTCCAGCTGCATACTCACCAGAAGAGCACAAAGCAACAGGCATATTTAAAGTAGTATAAAACACACAGACACACAAACACAGTCACACACACACACACACGCACACTGGGGCATTTGTGAAGATGTCCATAGGATGTAAGATTTACGATCTTTTTGAAGGAAGGGGAAAGGCGTCGCCACTGTGTGTCCCTCCTAGGACTGGTATATATTCACTGAAAGTTAATCCTGATGATTTGTTATTGTTTGAACCATATGTTGAATTGCTCCTGGTTTTTGTTTAGTGTGCTCTCGCTGACAAGGGACTGCAAGGGGCTGGAAGATGCTGCATCACACATCCTCTGAGACCTACTTTGTTAACTGCAAACTTCACTCTACACTATACAGTACCTTGTTGATATATTCAGTAAAGGCTTATTTTAAAAGAAACCCACGTTGTGTTTATCTGAGTAAGTTCATTGGGTTCCAGCCAGTGCTTATGGCGTTCACGTTAAAGATGAGGGGTGCTTCCTGCGGATAGAGGAGGATGGCATCAGTGACGAAGGTAATAGGATTTTTCATTTTCTCCTATCTTGAAGACAACTGCTACTGTTTAAGGTCATTTGACCCTTTTTGTGTGAGGGGGGTTCATATAAAGTCTTAATGTTCTTTTCTACCTCCCAATTAAACTGTGTGTTCCTACAAATATCTTAAATATACACACATATGCTAAGCATATTATTTTAGATTTGTGAAATCTATGTTGTTTAGGATGGAGATAAATACAAATGTAGTTATCCAATCAGAATACTATTTTTGTCTATTTCTCCAGATACATTATTGGTTTTAAATGTGCATATTCTGTAACAATTCTTATAGTGCTTTTCTACTTTAGAATTGTTTATAGTTCATCCACCCATATTTTCAATGAGCACACATGAAAATGAATCTATTCATATGCTCAAGTTCAACTCTGGATTAATTTCATGACTTGCTAGAACTCCTTTTCTCTAACCCCTCTTGTCCATTTCACTGACAATGTATTTGACAGAGATTAAATCAGGAAAAAATTGTGACACTGGAGTTAACTAGTATTAATTATTTGTAGAATCTTTGTTGGAAAATTAACTGTGAAGGACAATGGTAACAGTTGATTCATACTAAGGTGGGAGGGTTTTGTGTAGCTAATGTTCATGCTACTCTTGATTACTTTTGCCAAGAGTTGCAGACCTCACTCTATGAAGATACTTAGTCAAGGAATACCCATCATTGCAAAAAGTTTATTCAATTCCTTTTACTCTGTTCCAAGCATTGAGCTGAGTTCAGAGGTCTCACAA